GCCATGCATATGAAGCCTTAAAGATCCAATTCGTTCATTTATGCAACTTATTGTTCAAACTCCAGTTGCTTTGTGTCAAAGCATCTTGAGTTTGAGGGGGAGTGTTAACGTACATATATCTCTTGATTGTATGGGTATATATCTCTTGATAGGATTAAGTGCCTAGGATTATGATAAGATTAGTTAGTGATTATCAATTGACTGTTGGTATCTATCTAGAACTGTTATTAGTCGTATATTTATATGGGATCTTGTATATTCTTTATTAATCGATAAAGAGAGAGTTCTCTGCAGTATTCTGAGTTTCTTACTCGTACCAAACGTAAATGATCTCTTTCTATACTTTTCCTTATTACAAATACTACACAATGACATAAGATATGAATAATTTATATTATAATATATGATATATAATGAATAAATATATGTCATAATATATATACTTGGTTTCAGTAGGGTTGGCCTAGACCCTGAGCATATAGTTAGGTTCACATTTTTGGAGTTGGACCTGACCTACCAAGTCCTAGAGGTGGGTCCAAACTCGAACCCAGGCCTAGACTCGAACCCAGGTTAGGTTGTCCCATCGGGTCATCATCGGACCAGATTCCTTCTCCTAACTATGTATCATCTTGCTCCATTTTATAAGAATCGAATTCATCTCTACCATGAACTTTAAAAATACATGGCTGAGGTCATGACTAATAATAAATTGCAAATAATGTGTGATTGTTTATTTTTTTTTTTTTTTTTTTGACAATATTATAAAATTTTTTGCTTAGGGAAATATTACAATAAACTGAAACAAAAAGGAGCTCATTTACAACAATTGTCTCAAACAAAGAAACCCTATGCTTTGCCAGCCCATCCTCTAATCATTTGCCTCTCAATAAACATGATTGAATGAAACTAGCAGACCATGGCACAAATCAACTATCTGAGCCTGTAGCGAATAAAATTTTCATGGTAGATTTGTTGCGCCAATTAATCACATCATATGAATCGCCCTCCACCACGATTGCAAACCCCTCAAGATTACCTTTTGATACACTTCAAACCTTGTAAAATACTCTGAATTTTGGCTTCATTTGAGGTTGCATTCTCATATGGCCCAGTATAAGAAAGAATAACATCCCCATTGGAGTTGCTCAAAACTCTTCCATAACCAGCAGGACCTGGGTTATTGAAATAACTTCCATCAAAATTTAATTTTAAGCATCCCTCATCTGGTGGTTGCCATCTACCTTTTGGTCTTAACTTCCATGATTTGCTCATGATCACATTTTTCAAATTCAGCCACATGTCCATCTTTGAAATACCATTCCCTTTTTGGAAACTAAGAACCAGCTCCATACTCCATATAAAATATTCTACTTAATCTCGGTGACTCCACGATTTTTGCCTTAAAAAATTCTACCATTTCTTTCTCTCCATACTTCCCATGAAATGGTTGCTCAAAAAATTGCCCATAAATTGCGACCACATTTTGGTAAACCTGGTGCATCCATTTGAAACAGTAAATCATCATGACTTCTTGGCATCACTATATGAATACCCAATTACCAAAAGCCCATTCCCAAATTGCTCGTGTAAAGGCGTAATGTAAAAAGAGATGCTCACAAGTCTAACTTGTCCCCTTTACAAAGCAAGCAAACATCCACAATGATTTGACCCATCTTGGTAGATTATCCAATGTAAGAGATTTCCCTCGTAAAAGCACCTATAAAAAAACTTGAACTTTATGAGAGATTGGAATTTTCTATACCCCTTTTAGAGAATGGATCAAATATCTGTCTGTCATTGTATAACAACATGTATGCAAATCTTGCCAAAAAAACCTACCATTCTCAATCTCCCATACTACCACATCCTCTAACTCTCTCACAATATACATATTATTCACCTCCTGTAATAGCGATGCAAGTTCTTCCACTGCTCTATTCGGCACCCTTCCATAAATAAAAGACAAATATCATACTTGGCTATTATTAGCTAGGGAGAAACTATTAGTTACCTTCGCTGCTTGATCCACTATTCTTGAGAACACTTGCAGAAAGGCCACTATTACCAAGCATTTGTGATGCTATGCAAAGATGTTCTCAGCACTGCCCACCACCCATCTTACATTTTGAGGAACTATCTCCTTCACGTACAAAACGTTGGGAAATTGATATATTTGACAATTTCTAGTCCCGACATTGCTTATGTTGTACATCTAGTTAGCCAATTCCTGAGTGCCCCTAGGTCCGTTCACTTAGCCGTAGTCTTACGCATCATTCGTTATATCAGGGATACTTGACACCAAGCTTTATTTTTCTCTTCTTCTTCCTCACTTGAATTGCGGGCATACATAATCTCGGATTTCGCAGGAAACCCAAGTGATCACAAATCAACTATAGGATTTTGCATTTTTCTGGGTGACTCTCTTTGCAATGGAAAAGTAAGAAACATCAACGTATTGCCATATTTACAACAGAAGCCGAATATAGAGCTATGACAAAAACTACAACTGAAATTATGTGGCTTCGAAGGTTACTTGTGGACATGGGTGTTATTGTTGTTAGTCCCACACCACTTTATTGTGACAATAAGAGTGTCATCTATATTTTCAAAAACACACCAAGCATATTGAAGTTGTCTGACTTCTTCACCAAGAATTCTTGGCAGACACACTTTCTCTTCCATATATTGCCTCTTCTAAGCAGCCGGTTAACTTCTTTACCAAAACACATACTGCTGCTCAATACTCTCGGTTTCTCTCCAAACTCTCCATGATTTCAACCAAACCATCTTGAGTTTGAGGGGGAGTGTGAATTAATAGAATGTATTTATTGTATAATATCCTTTTTCCTATTTTGTGTAATGACATTAGGGAGGTGCATTCATTCATACATGATTTGTAACCCCATAAGTTGGGGCCTTGTATACAATTCCACATACAGAAAAATACATTTTCTCTGTTCACACAAAACACCTTTCCACAAATACAATGCCTGAGATCTTCTACTTAAAGAAAGGGTCATTATGGAATCTCTAGAAACCCCATACTTCTCCTTCACCACCGAGTGCCAAAGTTGGTCTTCACAATGAATAGTTCTTTACCACCATTAAAGACATTAAGTAAATATGAAGATTTGCTAAACATGATCTGACTAGAGCGACACGCCTCCCCCTAAAGACCAAACTTTACTTTTTCTGAGATCCAGTTTCACATAAACTCTGTTTAGAACTGAATCCCAAACTATTCTTGATGGTCTTCAATCTGAGATGGGCATACCAAAATAAGTACTAGGAAAAATTTCAGTCTTACATCCAACCTTTGAAGCCAAAACTTCAACAACATCTCTATAACAATTCTTTTTGAAGGAAATATTCAAACCATAATACAAAAACATTTGTGCAAGGACCATAGAAAGGCTTCCATTTAACGACCGGTTGCGTTCTTTTTACAGCGGTACTGTTGCTATAGCCACGAAATTGTATTTGAGCAGCAGCTGCAATTTCTTTAAGATCGGTGGCTTGCTCCCCCTTACATTTGCCGTTATAATGGAAACCTCCACCCAATAAACTGCCCTAAAATTTCCTCCCCTTTCCTCGATTTCTTACACCATTGACCAAACGTCCACCCAAACACACGCTTCTCGATCCTAAACTTTCCATATGATTCTTGCCCATCTTCTTTATATCTAAATTGAACTTGTTTTTTACCCTAAATTATTCTTTCAAGAACATTTGCTGACTGTTCTGAAGTGTATTATGGAAAAAGTTCACATGGAGCCTCGGCTCTAAACAATCAAATTTGAGCCTACCACAAAAAATTCACTAGAAGAAGTTGTTTTGATGCCCCAATATCTTCAAATTGATCATCAAGATGTATGCACATGAAAAAAGATGGATTTCAAGTTTTGAAAATAGTGTATTTTGTAATGCATTTTTGGACCGTCAATTTCAAGATTTTTAAGTTTTCATAGATCTATCAATCTCCACTATTTTTGAAGCTTTAAACTCTATAAATAAATATAAAAATATATTTTAAGTCTATCTCAAAGATTTACAATATTGAAATCACATTTCTCGACACTATTTGAAGGTAGGCTCTAATTTGATTGTTTAGAGTCTAGGCTCTATATAAACCGCACCCGTGTATTACTTATAAGGTGTAGTTTTTATTCGGTTGGAACCTTAAACACTCCAATTAAGGGGCACCTTCGAATTTTATCATAATATAAAATTTTGATGTAAATATTCTTAAGATTATCTCAAAATCTATTTTCATATATAATTATAAAATTTTAAATTTTAAAAATGGTTAAAATCAAGTAGATCTATAAACATATGAAAATCTTGAAAATAGACAGTCTAGATACTGTAGTGTAGGATGCACCATTTCTGAGACTTAAAATCTTTTTTTTTTTCAATACTCATACATCTCAATGTTGAGATAATCAATTGGAGGGATTTCAATGTTAAAACAACATTTTTCGATATATTTTTGAGGTGCATCCGTACTTCTACATTTTAAGGTTGCAACTTATATGATTTTAAAAATTTATGTTTCTTTTCATATTTATGATCATCTTGACCTAGATGATGAATCTAACAAAAAAAACAAAAAAAAAAAATTGAAAAAAAAAATCATTTAAAACTGAAATTTAGTGGGCGGCTCATAAAAACCCCATCCATTTTCTTTTAATCCAAGGAAAACACGTCTTCCTTGTTCATCAGGCTTCAAATTGGGTAATTGTGAGTGTATCATTGACTACACTTAAAGTTAAAAACAAAAAAAGAAAAAAATATCAAACGTCCAATTTGGGATCAAATGTCTACCAATAAATAATCGTACAGTGTACATCCCAATTTTTATTTTCGAAGTTAGCCAAAAAATTTGGTTCCTTGAGACACTCCTAATGGGGTCGTAGCCAAGGGCGCAAATCGCCAGTATCATCCTGCGGGAGATAAAAATCTTTTAATAAGCATATAAATTGGAGATGGGTCATCAAATTTCTCCGGCGCCGGCGTTCACATCATCTCTGGGGTCGGCGTCGCTGCGAATCTCTCTCTCTTTCTGTCGAGGCAGGTCTCTACCTCTTCTTTCTCTCTCTAACGCAGGCAAGTCCTACGAATAAAGAAAAACAGTTTTATTGGTGGCCTGCACAAGCTTAATCCCTTAGCGGTTTTGCTTCTTTGAATGTATAGGCATGCAATTGTTCCATGCGGAGGATTCATGATCCTATGGTATATAGTAAAGGGGGAGTTGGAGTTTTAGGTCTTAGAGATAGAGAGAAAGAGATGATTACTCGTTCCAATTTAGCAGAGCAGTTGAGGGAATACCAAACCAGGTCCAAGTATGAATGGGCTTCCGCTTCTTTCTTCTCCTCTACCTCCAATTTTGGTTCCAATTCCAGGTATTTTGAGAGCCAATCTTTCAAAATTTTTTTTTGTTTTTTGAAAATCTGTTGTTCTTTCTGGATGTCTCTGATCTTGATCTTTTATTATTGTGGAATTTGGCCTGTTTTTGATCTCGCATGTTTGCTAAGTTCTTGAAATATTGGTGGGGTGAGAGGGTTTATGGCTATTTTTTGGGTGTTTTATTGGTTTATTTATAGTTTTTTGAAGAAAATTTATATTATTGTTAAAGATATTAAATTGGTTTTCTCAATGAATGAATGACACTGACATTGCTTTCTTTGTGATCTTTTTTCGGTTTTCATTTTTATGATTAAATCTGAAGTCCGTATTCTGGTTTGCATTTCTTTGGGAAAATGGCATCAATGAGCACTTTTTGAGTCAATTTTCAGTCATTTCTTGTCAAAAAATGGTTATTGGTTTCTTTCCCAACTGTAATAAGTGCCTGTCAATCAAAATCAGACGTTCTTTCTGCATCGTGTTTCCTTGGTTGTAGACATTTATCTTCTATAGCAAAGTACACAACGATTTATCTCTAGATAAATGAATTCAATTGCAAATTCTATGTAAAAGTGGAGTTAGGCCATGTACTTAATTATTTTCCTATGAATCTAATTAGATTGGTATTCCAATTATAATTTTCTATCTTCAGTGCTCATTTCTCCAATTAGTCGGTCATTTTTCAACTTCTCTAGTTGGTAAATGTAGTTCTACACCCGTTGTGTTCATCTTCCATTGTATGTGGAGCAACACATCATGTTTCTGACTTGACCGATAACCTAGTAATCATCTAAAGGGGAATTCTTGCCCAGAGTTAGACTTATTATCATCAGGATGTCCAATAAAATGGGCATCTAGGAATCCATTGAACCTCTAGAATATCAGCTTGATTGTGAAGTTTATAGTGCACATTTCTCTGAATTTTAAATTTTTGTTGTTTTCAAAGAGGAATTCCAGGATTGCTAAGAGATTCAATTGGGAGCCCTAAACGTGGAACTCAACTCGTCTTTTAATGTTGGAAACATGACGCATCTCACAACTTGAGCATCTGTTGTTTATTCCTAGTAGTTTTATCGCATGGACTTTTGCTTTGATAATCTGATGACAGTTTTACAAAGAAGAGCATCCATGGTATTACCATTGTCTATCCTGAATCCTTTTCCAACATTTCCTAAAGAGCTTCCTGGAAATAGTGATAGCAGCTTTTATTATATATATATATATATATTTCTAAGACAGATAAGATTGTCCATTGACAATTCCAAATTGAAAAAGACATTGTCACCATGCCTTATCTTATTTATTTCCTGGTTGTTTCTAACTACTGATTTATTATCTCTCTGTAAATTTTGGATATCAAAATTATCCCCCCTATTCCAGACAATATTTTAATTTAGATGCCTACCAAAATCCATCTGAGTGACGGCCTTAGAAAATGTGAAATTTCCTGGCCCCATCCCATATTGGGAGATGGAGAAGCATTGGGCTCAGGATCACAAAAGGGGAGACATGATAGGGAGTTATTTTGGTATGCGAGGTATCACAGCCTAAAAATATGGGCAATCGATGGAGTAGGGAGGAAAGGAGAATACGGAAGAAGGATGGAAGGGAGCTGTTCTTTATATTAGTAATGTCAGAGGTTGACCTAGAGAAATTACACTGGAGATAATGATTGAGGCACTATGATGTAGTTTTTCTCTGTATGTGGCCTGTAATGAAAGTTTTTTGAAGAATAAAATAAGCAGAAGGGAAACAAGAGTGTCAAAAAGAGGAACAAGAGTTAAATTGGTAGGTGTCTTCTATCAATTGCAATAAGGTGAGAGGGGTACATTTGTTGATAAGGCTAAGGAGGATTTTGGTGGTGAGACGGGGCCTCATTGTTATGATCAAGGATTGCTAAGGGGACTCAACATGCCAGGTAGGGTTATGCATTTAAGAGAATGGTTGGGAGATAACATGGTCATTGTAATGTTGGTCTCAGAGTTCAGGTTGAATAGGTTGGTAGTTGTGGACTTATAACTCGTCAAGATGGATAAAGTTGGGATTGTTAGTAGAAACATAGTCTTGATTTATAACTTCGTATCTACTTAAGAAATGGAAAGAAGAGGGTCATCCTTGAGGAATTATTCTTTCTAGATAGGGCCAAGGCGCAGGCTACGCTGTCTGATTTTGAAAATGAATAAAGGCTCAAATTAATGCTTACAGATCTTCACAATTGCTAAAGGGTTTTTATTCTTTCTAAGTCGAAAAGGCAACATGGAAAAACTAATTGCCATTACTTGATGGTGTGTCTATATTCAGTTCACTTTATTCTTAGGTACTGGTTCGCAGGTTAACTACTCTTATTTTCAACATAGACATCGAAACGACTGCACAATGTTGTATAATATCATTTGATGGCATGAGTTAATGAGCTGTAGCATGATCAAGTGTAGACCTAAATATTACTCTACTTTTGCAGAGGCTACGGTTACTTGGGATGAAGCTTATTGTAAAACAGAAGTTTCTGACAGGGATTTTATGTGAATGATCAATGAGAAGGATGCAAAGTTCATACTTCATGATTATCAACTATTTATGATGGCTATTCATGTATAGGATACTGTTTTATGAAATTCGGCTGTCATAAAGTCGGTTATTGTTTTCTAAGGGAGTTGGGGTTGGCGTAAAAAGTAAAAGTAGCTTTCATTTTTGAGGAGATGCTTATAAAATATTTAACTTTTCAATGCATGTTGCAAACTATGCAAGTTTTACTTCAAAGAATGCATTATAAAACATAGCACCTCTCTCAAGTTAAGTGTTGCAACTGTTAAGACTTGTCTTGATTATCAAGTATTATTTTATGTTGTTTCCATTATGGCCTACTTTAGTCAAATATTCCAAGGGCACATATATGCTGATATTCGTGCCAATTTTGTATTTTTGCATTTAATATATTCTAACTAACTTCTTTATGCAAATATATACATATGAATGTTGAAACACACTCAGAACTTCAAATCAATGAATATGTTGATTCTTTGAATCGTTGAAATAATGAAAAACATCAACAAGTCCTTAGTGTATTAATGTCCATACTCCATAGTGGTATAGTCCATGCTTCATAGTTGATTCTTCATACAATCATCATACATATAGCACCCTGAAAACTATTGCAATAAGAGAGGATAAGCTTTCAGATGATTCTTAAAAATCTACAATATTTTCTTGAATCAAAAAATTTGCAAAAAAAATTAATTTGGGTGTTTTAAGGGTTTAAGGTTGAGTTTTTACACTTTGGCGGGTCTTAGAATACGTCCAAAACACCTTTCTGCGCTTTTCAATGGGTCAAAAGGACCCAAAATGGCCTCATTGGCTATTTTTTCGGCCGAAAAATGTCCAGATCATGGTCACCTGTCGAACCCGCTTGGGCAGGTGCCTAGAGATACTCACCTAAGTCTAGGCGAGGAGACCTAGGCTTCCTTTGGTGCCTTGGTGCTGC